TATATATATATTTTACTTAACTTAATCACACCTTAATAATCATGGATTAGGTTGTGATTATTAGGTGACCATATAAGGACAAATTTTAAAGTACCTCTCACCTGACAACTTCCATTTTTGGTCCGTGGTCGTTTCCACTGTTGCAGGTATTCTGACACCTGTGCAAACTTTTTCTGCACTGCTGGAGCTTATCACTGATTGGAGCCTTGTTCTCTATGAGAGAAGTCTCAGAGCAGAGATTAGGATTGAGATTTTTTTTCCTCTTTCATCTGTACAGTGTAGACATATGTAACAGGTGGAAAATTAATGTCAGTGATGTTCCTGTAAATGTTAAAAATAAAGCCCATTTTGAAGGGTGAAATGTCAAGTCTTGTGTATTTTGTGCCAGTGTAGGAATTTTTCTGCAGATGCTGTGCGGTGTTGGAGCGAATTTGCAAGTTTTCTGGTGGGTATTTCAGCCATGTGGTCACTAAGGGTTTTTAACTCATGAATAAGTAGATCTTTATTTTTTTTTTATGTGTCAAACTACATTAACAAGAATAAATTAGGCTAATGCGTTTTTGGTCTTAATTTGCAGCAGTGATGCTGAAGCACATGGCAAGTTATAGCATGATATATACTTTTTATTTTATATTTGCTTTATGTTTGCCTAATAATTTGGGAAGAAATAGGTATTTTTAAAATGAATTTTCATGCTAAATAGTACTTCCAGCTAGATTTTCAGTCCTTTTTTTCTAAATTAAAGTGTATATAAAGAAACTCAGAGATGCAGCTAGCTGGCTTCATTATAGACTTTATCATACCCAGTCTTTTTTGGGCTGGGTAGGAAATCATAGGTTTAAACTGACTGCTATCATTCCTTGGCACAGATGTGATGCTGAAAAATGTGAGACTGGTTCTACTACAAAAAACTACTTTCTGAATCAGATGAAAACTCACTTATGTCAGGCTAGTGTAGTGCAAATGCACAAAGACTGATTTTAGTACCTGTAGCTTGCATCTCATCTGCCATTAACAAACATGAATATCAGTATGTATTTTCTTGTTCAGTGTTATTACTTTTAATTAATTTTTATTTTTGCATTTACTTATTTATTTATTTATTTTTAAAGGCATATAGGTATGAATCCCCACAGATCCCTTGGTGTATTCATGACTGTTTAAAGTGTGCATTATCCTCGCATAGAAAGATCAGTTTCTTTACTGACAGGATTACTACTATCATCCACTGACATATAAACATTTAACAACAGTATGATTACAGCCTGTTATTGTTACGGGAGGATGTGAAAGATTAGTTATAGTTTGTTTTGAACACTCGGTTGGTTGCAGTCTTCTAGCTGCCCTAATATGCTCAGCTTAAGTCTACATCGGTGACCCAATTCCCCAGACGACCTCTGACAAAATGATATGCCTGGATAAATCAGCATGCATTATACATGCATCTCCACCCCGGACGGGAGGCCTATTCCACACCTTACCCTGTTTAGTTTTTAGTCAAACTTGAAACCAGCTTAGCAAGCTGACTTCAGAAGTGCCAGATAAGTATTTGTCAACAGAACAGCTGGCGCACAATGCCCTCTTGTAGCTTTATGCCACAGCATATGCCAGCCGCTCGTAGCGTGTGGTAATTTAGCCGGGGCTGGTTCTACGGGAACAGATGGGCTCAAGTATTGTTATTCTCTCTCCAGCTCAGGGCCCCTGGGGGGAATCACTAAATAAAATCAAAGCAGATGGACCTCTCTGGGCTAGGCTGTGTTTATGATAAACAGTCAGTAGAACCAGTGTCCATCTAACACCTTAACCCCACCCTCCACACAAACTAACATCGAAAAGGATTACAGTAGTTTAACCTCACCTGCTTTAGTCTTAAACTTTTGATTCACCGAAAAACAGCAGTCAAACCCAAACAAATAGAAGGGTTAGGAAAGAGCTAAATTAGGACTTACCCCATCCTGTGGAGAGTTTCAACAATTTCCATAAACCACAAGTCATTCTTTACTCACTTGACCTTAAACTTTAAAATTCTCTCAAAACAGAAACTCTTATTTTGGTGCTGGATTAGAAATGTCTCACTAGCCTGTTCTTTCTCACTGACAGAGGACTGTTTTGTTCTTTTATAGCCTTGCCAAGATTTCATTGCTGTGGTTCTCACATCCACGCCATGGACACAGGCCTTGGTGGCAGCATGGGCATGTTAAACACCATCTCATAAGGTAATCTGGTGTCCCCTGTTGTTATATGGTGCACAGAAATGCAGAAGAGTTCTCACTTAGCATTGAAGTTCAAATCTACTTTCATTCCCATGGGAAAAAACAGCTATAAACAAAGGAATCCTATCAGTGCAGAAGGAAGGTAAATGTTTGCGGCCATTCAGACAACAGGAAAGCAGTGATTTCCGGCACTAAAGATGAAAAAGAGTGGAGCATGAATGGTTTTAAGCCAATCAGTCCTAACTCAATATACCACTTCAGTGTTGTTTTAACTCCATCACGGTAACCGGTTTTATTTAGTGTCTTCAAAGGTCAGTTTCTGATGAAGTCAAAGTAGTGTAATCAACCTAAATGTTTATTGCCAGAAGTATTAACTCAGCAGTTACTCAGTCACTTTAAGCTATCTTAAAATCTTTTCTTTAGTTTTTTTCCCCCCCCCAAACTTTTCTTCAGGCGTCCAAAGACAGTTATTTTTCACCATTACCCAGATTGTTTTTTCTTTTCCGTGGACACGTGCCTCTCTAAAATTACACTCGGACATTTAGCAGATCTATCAAGTCAATTCATCAGCAGAGAGATGCAAGTCCCTCTGGCTTGATTGTTGTCAGGACACAAAATTAGCATTTCTGTCTTGTTTTTTAAAGCATCGATTGCAGCCTTCAATGTTTCATCAGTCCCCAAACAACATTCTTTAAAAAAAACACACCACCATTTCTTTAAAATACCACTTGTGGTATAAAGAAATGTGGAATTAACATTTTCATTAATCACTTTTTGAATCAGCAACGGCATTCTTACATACAGCACATTGGCTACGATAGTTGTCTTTTGTAAAAAGATAAAACTACACTTACAGCCAAATACTCCATTTCACCTTTTGATGTCTTTCCAGTAAAACATGTATCATTGCTTCTTCTAAACCGCTGTGGTGTTCTGTATTGTAATCTTAACATTTATTCTCATCTAAGTAACACGTAAGTTGTTCTCTCTCATTTTCAGAAAGGACCTGGTCGCTTGGATGAAGAATTAATTGCCTCTAAAGCAACAGCTACCAGATGTTGTTGGTCCTAAGAGCCAGGTGTGGATAAATTGCATATGCAGAATGTGTGTAAAATATTTAAAGTCGTATCATTCACTTAAGGTGTGAAGTGTTTTTATTGCCCATCACTGCTTTGAGTATGGCGAGAGGAAAGGCCGGCGGCCCCCCTGGGCCCACCACACTGGAGCGAAGCACGTGTGGTGTTAAGAATACGGCTGGTGAAGCTGAGAGTGAGACTTGGCATGGCTTTGTGTTTGGTGGAGTTGGTGCATAGAAGGGTGTGTAGGTGGAGGTTGTGGGGGTGGGGATCCTTCCACCTGTTCACCCTGTAATTCGCTCCTGGCTGCCACCTTTAACACTGCATTATTTACAGGTGCTCTCTTGATGGAGACACAAGCTGCTGCCTGCTTTAAATATGGATATGTGTGTGTGTGTGTGTGCAAACAATGAATGCGTGCACACTATATGTGTACGCCTGCTTGCAAAAGAGTGAAATGAATTCATTTCACTAGTAGATTTACTTGTAATGCTAATATAATATAATACATGACAACATGTCAAGTGCAAGTATGAAAAAATGAGACACTAAGTACTGGACAACAGTCACAGTAACAACACCTGGTGATGGCAGTGGAGCATTTTGCAGTAACCTTTATTTTTGGAGAAAACAAACAATCCTTAATAATGCTCAAATTTATGTGATATTCTTATCAATAAAAAAGACAAACTTTAAAATGGGATTAGTCTATTATAATGCTAAAAACGCTGTTTTTGACTCATGCAAAGTTAAAGATGCACGGTTTTCAGAGAGCACGCGCGTTCATGCTCTTTCCCCATCGTCTCTGCAGGTTGCACATTGTGGAAATTGAAACCTGTGACCTTTTTGCTATCAGCTCTGCCTACTGTTTGCTGTTCTTAATGTTAACCTTGACACACGTGTTAGCATTTAGTTACTGGCCATGATTTCATATGAATTACCCCTTAATTATATAAGCGCAGTGCATATGGAGACTGACACCAGACACACACAAGGCATACTGCTTCATTGTGAACTACGTATTGTCATCCACTTTGTGTAAAAACGTGAATATTAAGGTCTTTTTTTTAATGTCACAATCCACATTATGGTTTGTGTCAGGAAACCACATCCTGCTTCCTTTTGCACTCTTATTAACCCTTTCCTCTCACAACCATAGCAACAATTAGGTAAAATTATTTAAAGAGACAAATGATAATCTGAAGGTCCATCCATCCATCCATCCATCCATCCATCCATCATGCTTATCCAAGGGTTACAAAGGGGCTGGAGACCATCCAGACATTAC